GCTTCAGATTCCCCTGGAACTGGAGTTAAGGACGGTTTATAGCTGCCATGTGGGTGCTGGGAATCAAACCCAGGTCCTCTACAAGAGCAGTCAGGGCTCTTAACCGCTGAGCCATCTCTCCAGCCCATAACATGATATTTTAATTTGATTATCCCAAAGAGTCCAGTTATGTGCTGTTAAATGGTGTTTTAAAAGGGTCTTTGTTCTTAAGCTGGTTACTTTACCTTGTTTTGTTACTTCTGACTGTGACAAAAGCTTTTATTTTCTTATATAAAGGAAAAGTTATTGTAGAGGATGCATCTAGAGTGTTAATTTTGGTGGGTTAAAATCTCTTAGTAGTCTTGTGACGTGTCTTTTAGTTCAATATATTGAATTAGCCTTATAGTTAAGAATATTTATACTCAGGAGGCAAAGGTAGGCAGCTGTCTGTGAGATTGAGGCCAGCCTGGTCTACATAGTGAGTTCCAGGCAGCTGGGCTAGGGATATCCTGTGAAAAAACAGAACAAAACAACAAACAACAAAAATTGAACGAAAAACCAGACCAAACCAACCAACCAAACAAAAAGAATATTCAAAGCCTTTGGCAATCTACAGTTAAAAACATTTGTTGTTGCCCTCAACTCTTCTTTTAAAGAAAACATTAACAATTTGATCCCAAGAGCCCAATTAGATTTTGCATTCACCCCTCTCAAAATTTACTATTCAGAGGTTAGCATTCTTTTGTCAGTTATTTGTCCAGGTAATTCTTTTGTCTTTAATCAGATGAGCATTTTATGAGACACATTTGAGTTTTTTCAAACACAAGAAAATGCTGTGATTTTTCTAAGGTGTAAAGAAACAATTAAAAAAATATGTTTTATTAGGTCGGAAGAGGGCATTAGAGCCCCTGGAACTAGAGTTAGGATGCTTGTTAGCTACAGTGTGGGTTCTGGGAATTGAACCTGGGTCCTCTGCAAGAGCAGTCAGTGCTCTTAACTGCTGAGCATCTCTCCAGGCCCCCCAATTTTTTAAAATAGTTCTTTGTTACATAAAATTATTAAGGAAGAGGCTGGACATGGTAGTGAACACCTTTAATCCCAGCACTGGGGTGGCAGAGGCTGGTGGATCTACTTAGTGAGTTCCAGACCAGCTGGGGGGACCTTATCTCAAAAAAAAAAAAAAAAAAAAAAAATGTAATTTACTGGTTGTCCTAGTTTGTTTCTTCATTGCTGTGACAAAACACTCTGACCAATACCAGCCTGGGGAGGAGCTTACATCTCTCAGGTCACAGTTCGTCAGGGAGCCCAAGAACCTGGAGGCAGGAGCTGGAGCACAGGCCATGGAGGAAAGCTGCTTACTGGCTTGCTCCCCTGGCCCCTGCTCAGCCTGCTTTCTTATGCAGCACAGCCCCACCTGCCCAGGGGGTTGCACCACCCATAGTGGGCTGGCCCCTCCCACATCACACAGCAATCAAGAAGATGCCCCACAGACATGGCCACAGGGCAGTTCAATGGAGGCAATTCCCCAATTGAGGCTCCCTCAACCTAGGTGTGTCAAGTTGATACTAAACCTATCCACCACACTGGTAATGCCCTGCTTTCTTGGTTGATGTGTGCTGTGTGAGTTTCTCCCACAGAACATTCTGTCCTCTGTTATCTAGCATAGTTCCTATGCCTGGACACAGCTGCCCTCCCCCAGCCTCCTCCCTGTCTGTAGGTGTCTCTCTTGCAGTCTTACTGAATGTGAAGAATGGGAACAGTTTCATTTTACTCTCTTGAAATCCTTTCTAGACATTTCAGTGAACTGAAATGGTATTCTTAGCTGTGTTATCTAGCATTGAATTAAAAGGTCCTTCTCTTCAAATAAAGACGAGAACAAATATTGAATTGTAAATGTATGTTATTCAGTCAGAGATATCTGAAAACATTGTTCTGAACATTTTCCAGATGTAATGCTAGCATATTTATAGTTATGTTAGCAATCACTTGGTATTTATTAAATGTCTACTGTAGGAATGCTAATCTGCTACTTCATGAGTGTGTTACAATCCAAACATACATTGTATTGTTGAGATTTTTTTTTTTAACTTTTCCAACGATAAAGCAGTACATTCAATTCTAGGGAGTTGGCACATCTTAAATGTCAAATGTATGAAGCACTTTTGAAGTAGAGTGCTTTTGTTTGGGGAAAGCATTTTACCCATGTGTGCAGTTATTGAAGTAAAATATTTGCACTTGGCTGACTTCACCAAGTGTCATGGCTCAGACCTCCCTTCAGTTAGAGACTTGGGGGGCTGAGTCGTTCTGCTGTTATATAGGCAATTAATATTCAGGGAAATGTAGGGAATGTACTTGGTACTAACTATATAGAATTGTCATTTTTTTTGTGTGTGTGTGATGAACTGCATTTGAAGAGCTCAAATATAGTTAGTTCATAGCAGGACCATAGACACAATTCGTTTTTAGTTTTTATGTCATTTCATCTGGTGTTTAATGATGCCCTTTGTGAGCTTGTTGCTGTAGCCACTAGAAGGACCAGAACACTGATAATGATGAGCCTGCTTAAAGAATTTAGATGTTTGGGCACTGGAGAGATGGCTCAGCGGTTAAGAGCACTGACTGCTCTTGCAGAGGACCCAGGTTCAATTCCCAGCACCCACATGGCGGCTACGAACCGTCCTTAACTCCAGTTCCAGGGGAAGCTGATGCTGTCTTCTGACCTCCACAGCATTGCATGGCATGGGTGCACTCACATACATGCAGGTGATATACTCATACACATAAAATAAAAATAATAAATAAAATATTAAAAAAATAATTTAGATGTTTGACCAGTTAACTGGGTTAGAGAAAAAAGAGTTAACATTTGTGTGTGGCAAGCACTTTATATACATTATATTATTGAATATTTTGAAAACTCCACAAGGTAGGCAGGTATTTTACAGGTGGGAAAAAGGAGGATTAGAAAGGTTATTTGCCTAGGATAAAAAGCCTGTTAGCTCCGCTGTCAGCTGCTAGGCACTCCCCTGGACAGTGGTGGCTGAGCAACACTGTGTGCTTTAGCTTTTGTTACTGTGGTTTCTTTTCATCATAGTGATTATTTTCCAGATGGTAGACTATTTGACATTTGAGAAGAGAAAAATTGGGTCCATGTACATGGTGTGCGTGTTCCTTCTGGGGTTTGTGTTCTGTTCTTTCCTGGACAGTCTTTCTATTTAATCACCCTTGTAGCCATAAAAATAATATTTGTTCTGTTATTTGTGCTTGCTTTTTTTTTTAGGACTTTAAGGTGTGTTATTGCATATGCACGGTATTTAGACCATTTAGAAAGCAAATGTTTGCTTGACACAATGAGAAAGAAATGAAGTTCATAGTACATAAATTCATACTGTTAATGTATTATTTGTCACTTTTTGTGTACCTTTAGTCCTGCCTAATTTACAGTCAAGGATTTCAGTGTCTTGAGTGAGTGAGGTAGTAACATAGTTGATGGCAGCAGCTAAGGTTGTTTGAGCTTGTATAAGAGTGTGCATGTGTGTGTGTGTGTGTGTGTGTGTGTGTGTGCGTGTGTGTGTGTGTGTGTGTGCTATCTCTCTGTGTGTGGTCTCTCTCTCTCTCTCTCTCTCCCTCCCTCCCCCCCCATGTGTGTGTGTGTGTGTGTGTGTGTGTGTGTGTGTGTGTGTGTGTGGTATCTCTGTGTGTGTTCTCTCTCTCTCTCTCTCTCTCTCTCTCTCTCTCTCTCTCTCCCTGTGTGTGTGTGTGTGTGTATGTGTGTGAGTGTGAGTGTGTGTGTCTAGGTTTCCAAGTGCTTTCATTGTCTTACATGTTTCAATCCTCTCAATAATCCTAGGAGCCAGTAATGTTTATCTCTCCATTTTATAGATGAGAAAATCAAGATGAAGAAAAGGTAGGAAATTTGTGTAAAGCTACATAGCTAGGATACTGCACTATCTTAGCAGTTCTTAATCTCAGTTACTTTGAATTTGCGTTGTTAATAAGTTAAATATGGGAGTTGGACTTGTACTTTCTAGGAACATAGGTTACAGATATTTATTAAAATGAAGAAAACTTACCAAGATTATATGTAAGTCACTTGAATTACTGAGGGATCCTCAAGGAAATAAGCATTTCTTACTTTGTTGTTGTTAAGAATATTTTAAAATTCAGGCATGACAACACAGATACATAAAGGTTTGTGTTAGGCTTCTTTGTTGGTTTGTTTTTCTTGTGATAGGTACTTGAGGGAAGCAGTTTAAAAGAGGAATGATTGGTTGTGGTTCACAGTGTCAGAGTTTCATTCAATAGTAGACTGCTTCCATGTTTGGGGGCCAATGGGGAGGCCCATATCATGACTGAAGGGTGTGGTAGAGCAGAGCTATTCAAATCATGGCAACAGGAAGCAGAGTAGGCAATGAGGAGCTGGGGGTCAAGTCTGTCTATCCAGAGCGTACCCCTAGTTACCTACTTCTTCCAATTAGGCCCTATCTGTAATACTTCCGTCTCGCAGTAGTCTGTTGAGATTTTGAGTCCATGAGTGGACTAATTCATGGCTGAAGGCAGAGCCCCCATGATCCAGTCACTTGTCAGAAGTTCTGCCTCTGAACGTTGCTGCACTGGCAACCAAGCCACTCAACACGGGAGCCCCTTGGGGGGGGTGCTTTGTATCCAAATCCTAACAATGCTTCTGTTTATTGTGTAGAAGGGCATTGAAATAAAAAAATTTAAGTTTAAAGCTGATTATGGAAGTAATGTTATTTTAGATTACAGCAGTGAATTTTTGAAGGGCTTGCCTGGTATGCTAATAGGGAAGGCAAGCATCTTTTCTTTTTAGCAAGCAGTAATACTGGATCCTAAAATTGTATTTTGCAGGACAAAAGCTTGAATTAATACAGACATAATATTTTTATAAGGTTGAGGAAAATATTATTGGCTGAGAATAATACTATTTTGATTTATGTTAAACTCAGTAATCTGCTCCTCTTTCCCCTTTCTTTCCCTTTTTTCCTTTCTTTTTTTTAAAGCTTCTCACCAAAGGACATGGATGAAAACGAAAACAACCAGTCTCCGACAACAAGCAACCACTATCCTAAAGAAGCAGTAAGAAAACGCCAAAATTCGGTACGGAATTCAGGAGGAAGTGATTCTTCTAGGTTTTCCAGGAAGAGCTTCAAACTGGATTATAGGCTAGAAGAAGATGTAACTAAATCAAAGAAAGGAAAAGATGGGAGATTTGTTAATCCATGGCCAACATGGAAAAATATCTCTATTCCAAATATTCTTAGATGGTTGATAACTGAGAAGGATCATAGCAGTGTTCCAGGTTCCAAAGAGGTAGGTGGCACTTAGCTTCTTTGAAAGCTTTGCATATACTTTTAGTGTCTATACTGCTTAGCTTTTCTGTGAGTTATGACACTCTAGCTACCTGAGCTGTTTTTATCAGATGAGGCATCATGCTAAGTTTTGAGGAGACAAAATGAATCCTGTAACCCATGCCCTCAGGTTCCTAGTTTGGCAGCAAAGTACATGTGTAAATAATCCTTTCTGATCTGCAGCCAGAGGTAGGGACAAAGTGCTATAGAGGTGGACGGAAGAAGTGGTCAATTCTGACTGGTAGGGTTGGAGATGGCTTCAGGAAGAGGTGTTATTTGTGCTGGGCCTAGAAAGCTAAGGAGTTTTTGGCAATGATTTTCTCAGGTAGATGATTGCATGAACAGTGTCCTGAAGGTGAAATGTGTTCCAGAAAACAACAGCCGGATAGGAATTTGGAATGTGGATTCTGAGAAGTAAGCCATGACCTAGATAGAATGTTGCATTTAATCCTTGAACACAGCTATCAATGCTATAAAGTTTTGGAAGACCTTTGCAAAGCTATAAAAGTTGACTATAGCTTATTAACCTTTAAATGCAGTAGCTTTACTAAGAATGAAATTTGTTAACCTTTGGCCTAGAGATTACTAGATGAGTGAGAAGCACTCTTGCAGGGGTGGTGGTACATGGATGGTTCCCATTATAGTGGTGTCTTTTCCTTTCTCCTTTCTTGATTTTTTTTTTTCTGTGCTCCCTACCATCTTCCTTGGTCTCTCCATCCCCTATCCTGCCAGGCTTTGGGGGAGTTAGTGGGGGGCAAGGAATCTGACTTTGTAAATAGAATAGTATGAAAAGACTAGCGGTATCCCTGAAGGCGTTGGTTCATAGTGGGAAGAGACAAGAGAACAGTGTGGGTAGAGATGAGATTTAGTGTTAGATCTACTAGGTAAGTGTGTCTGTTTTTCTTTAAAGGATATGAGATGGAAAATCTTACATCACTTTGATGCTGGGAGTGTTTATAATCTTAGTTACCAGACTTGATTAATGTGAAATATATCTATGTATGCATGTATTTTCAGTGCTAGGAATCAAACCTAGGGCCTTGCATGTTTTAGGCAGATGCTTTTTCACTAAACTACACTTTCAGGCCAATATGTTTTTGTTTTCCTTTGTTTATTGATACAGGGCCTTGGTATATAGCCCATGCCATCCTCCTGAGTGCTAGGATTGTAAGTGTGTACCACCATGCTTGGCTCCAGTAACATTTTTTTTTTTTTTTTTTTTTTTTTTTTTTTTTTTTTGGTCTTTTTGAGACAGGGTCTCCCTGTAGCCCCAGCTGTCCTGGAACTCACTATGTAGACCAGGCTGGCCTTGAACTCACAGAGATCTGCCTGCCTCCGCCTCCCAAGTGTTGGGATTAAAGGCATGCGCCACCATGCCCAGCTTACCTTTTAGAATTAGGCCATTCATTAATAGATAAACATTTCTGTTCTCAGATTTTAGGATGAAACAAAGGAACAAGAAACTTTTTGTTTTGTTTTGTAGCCTTTGCTGGCCTGGAACTGTCTGTGTAGAGCAGGCTGGCCACAAACTCAGAGAGATTCACCTGTCCTTCCTCCTGGGAACTAGGATTAAAGGTATGAACCATCATACCCTGTTTGTTTTCAAGACATGGCTCTATTTATGTAGTCTAGTCTGGACTGGAACCTACTATGTAATCCAGGCTGGCCTTGTATTTCTGATCCTCCTGCCTCCATTTCCCGAGTGCAGGCATCACAGTGTGTACCACCACACATGGCCTTTTCCTGGTGAATCCCATCAGGAAACATAGAGTCTAGCTGTGATGAGAAAGATTAGGGCATAAGGTCAGGATTGATGGGTTTTGTGTGATGCATTGGAGTGAATTTCTTCATGATTTTGAGCCACAGCTTCTAAAAGCACAGAGGTTAGTATTGATATTTTTAGTATTATTTCATTTCAAAGAGAAAGTGACCAGATGAAGGTAGAATTGTACCTCTTCATTCTAATGTTCTGAGAGGTTTTTCAGAAATGAAATTGACTCTGAGGACTACCAGGCCAGTGGTTTTTTTTAAAGGGGATATTCATCCCTTCGAGAAGCTGATGAAAGCTGTGGATCTTCTTAGAGGAATCCACACATGCAAATAAGCATTCTGCCATTGATGTAATGTCATGTACTCTCTCAGGCTTGTCCATTCAGTCATTTATTTAGCATTATTTATTGAGCACATGCTCTGGGCTGGGTACTGTACTATGTGCTAGAAATCAAGCCATAATCAAAACAGAGATATATCATGACTTTCTTGGACTTTATATTTTAGTGAAAGAATAAACAAGTGAGTTGTGTGTTATATTAGAGCATAAATGAGATGCAGACTAAAACAGATTTTAGTGATAGAGGTAGGGCTGCATTCTTTAATGAAGTGTGAAGTTATCTTTTTTTTTTTCTGTCTTTTTGAGTGAGACAGGGTCTCTCTGTAGCCCCAGCTGTCCTGGAACTCACTATGTAGACCAGGTTGGCCTTGAACTCACAAAGATCCGCGTGCCTCTGCCTCCCAAGTGCTGGGATTAAAGGCGTGCACCACCACGCCCGGCTGAAGTTAGGGTCTAATTATTAACCATCCCACTGCTCAGCTGCCACCATCCCATCTGCGCTGTGTGAATGGAGACCCCACAATTCACAGACCACCTGGGTTATCTTTTTTAAGGCAAGAAATTCTTACAAATGCCAAAGGAAACTTCATGTCTTGAATGTGCTAAAAAATTCAGCATCATCTGACAAAAAGAGACATCTTTGCATTATTTCAATTTATATTTAATTTATGGCCTCCTAACCTATTGCCTTTCTTTTAAATGATTTATTTTTATTTTGTATGTTTATCTTGTCTGTCTAAATGTATGTGTGTCATGTGTGGCTGGTGCCCACAGAGACCAGAAGAGGGTATCAGATCTTTTGTAACTGGAGGTATAGACAGTTGTGAGCTGCCATGTAGGTTCTGGGAACCAAACCTGGGTCCTTTGCAAGAACAGCCAGTGCTCTTAAGCACTGAGCCGTCTCTCCAGCTCCTTAACCTGTTGCCTTACTTCCTTCTTGTTTTCAGTGAAAGCCTAGAATTAGCTCAAATGCAAGTTGATGTCTTATATTTCATGGATAACTAACTTTCTGTTGCTGAAAAGATTAGCTTTTACCATCCCCCAAGTGTGACAGAGCTCTACAATTGCAAAAAAAATAAAACCCAAAGAGGGGGAAACCCCAAAACTATGAAAAAGTAGATGAACACTTGCTTTAGATAGTTAGATCAAATCAGAATTTAACCAGGTTTCTGGAGGTTGTTAGACATTGGGAAGCTAGCATGTAATGAGCAAATCACAACTTCAAGTTGTTACCATATCATAGCATATTGTATTTATTTAGCTATATAAATATGAAGGTATTTTAGAAGAAACATATGATTAAAGTATACATTAATTGATAGGTCTAAATAAAGTGGGTCATAAGCAGCCTATATAGTTTAGTTGCCTGGTGAGAAAAAAATTTCTTTCATTGGGCCATTCCTCGTATCTGTCTCTTCTGGGTCATTAGGGCAGTGTGCCACACACAGTATTCAGAGGCTGTCATTGCTTTGTGCTGTTGTTGGCTCCATGACCTTGGCTGACTGTGACTCACAGTCACCAATAGGGAAAAGAAACACTTGGCAGCATTTTAAGGAGGGAGGGAGGCAGATACTTCTTGAGTTTTATTAGTTGAAGGTGGCTGCCATAATAAATGACAGACAGTCAAATTGGAGTATGAGAGACATAGAAAACAGGCTGCCTCAGACAGCAAGTCCAGGTAGAAAAATCAGGACCCCAGAAATTTGGAAACCAAGTTTAGTTTTATGATCTTCATTGATTGGACAAACATTTCTGTACAATCTCTTGAGGAATTTTCCTGTAGTTTGGATCTTAAATGTCTCCCACAGTTCACTGTAGCCTGGTGCTATTGGGTAGTGGTAGAAACATTAAGAATTAGGGGTGAGTTGGGAGGTTCTGGTCATTGGTGGTATGTCTTTGAAGGTCATAGTGGGCCTCCAGGCTCTTCTCTTCCTCTTTTTCACTTCTGGACAATGAAGTAAGGCATTGCTCTCTCGTACGCTCCTACTGTGAGGTACTGCCTTACCATAGGCCCAAAACAATAGAGCCACTTGCTTTCTCTTTGTAAGTTGACTTTTTCATGTGTTTTTTACAGTAATGGAAAGTTGACTAATAATAACTCCTTTATTTATTTATGTTTGGTCTATCAATTGTAAATTAATTTGGGTCCCTAGGATTGTTCACATGATACATGAAAGTACTTGGACAATATAAAACATTCATAAATGTGTGGCATTGAAGAATAGGATGCCTTTTGAAAAATGAAACATAAGTAATAATACTATGACATACTTTTTTTTTTGAGACATACCATGTAGCCCAGGCTGGCTTTGAACTCAAGATCCTCCTTCTGTGCCTCCCAGGCACTTGGGTTATAGATGTGTACAACCATTCCCAGCCTGCTTTTTATTTTAAATGTTTTGTTTATTACTTTTATTTTATGTGTATGAGTGTATTGCCTGCATATAAGTGCACCCATGTCGTGTGATGCCCGAGGAGTCAGAAGAAGGTATTGGATCCCTTGGAACTGAAGTTACAGACAGTTGTTAGCCCCCATGTGGGTGCTGGGAATCAGACCTGGGTCCTCTGCAAGGGTAGTCAGTGCTCTTGGAACTGTTGAGCCATCTCTCCAACCCCTGCTTTTTAATTTTTAATAAGAAAAAAGCCATCCATGTAGATAATTTTTAAAAAAGACAGTGCTATAATGACAACAAGGAAAGTATTGCTCTTTAAGTCCTTCCTCAGGGTCCACAGCTTTCTATACTTAAGTGTTTCCTTGGAGTTTATCTTCATATTTCTTGTCTTTTAGGTTGTGAGCCTGAGCCTTTAACGGCTGCCCCAGCTCTCCAGCCCTATCTTCATATTTCTAAGGC